TCTTCTCCCTGTCTTTCTGTCTTTCTGTTTCTCCCTTCTGCCTAATCTCCAGGTCTCTGTCTCTACTCTTCTCTCTGCTTCTCCCTCCCTATCCCCAAACCCAGGTGGACCCCCTGGCCTCCTCTGGGCCCCTCCCCTTCTCCATTCCAAGAAAGGGAGGAAAAAAAAAAAAACTGGGGCAGAGGTGGGGCTGCCCCCAGGAGAAGGGGCAGGACAGGAGGGTGGGGGAGGCAGGTCAGGGCCTGTGGGGAGTCACAGCCCAGGAAAAGTAAATGAACCCTTTCCAGTTGTCCCAACCCCCAAGGTTCCTCTGGGGGCTGTCTTTCTCTACTGACCCTTCCTTCTGCTTCCCTCTTCCAGCCTCCCAGATACACAGACACCCCAGGTTCGTATCCAGCTACTGCATAGCACTTACTTGCTGTGTGGCCTTGGGCGAATGGCTTCCTGTCTCTGAACCACCTCAATTTCCTCATCTGAAAACGTGCGGATCCCTACTTCTCCCAGGTTGTTTGGTGTCAGTTTGATCTCCTTAGCATCTGTCTTGGTCTTCTTCTCCTCTCTCCCCTACCAGATGTGAAACAAGGCGCGGTATGTCCAGCTGCAGATAGCAACCAGCCCTAGCTCTTCCTCTTCCTACCAGCTTGACGTGAGAAAAAGGACTCCACCCCCCATGAGGCTCAGATTCTTCACTTGTGAAATGGGTGTGAATTGGGGGTGGCAACTCTGCCTCATGGTGGAGTTGGGATAAGGACTCTAGAAGATTCCGTATGGAAAGAAACAAGCGCTGTAGATACTCAGCCAAGGTTCCTATCACTGTGATGGTCATTCCTCCATCTTTCTCATCTCTAATTCCAAGTAGATGGGTTTGGGGAGAAGTTTTTCTCTTTCTATATTCTCCTGACCTTTGTCCCTGGAGAGGCATTAGAGACAGAATCGAAAAAGTGAACAGGATCACTTTTGCTTTCCAAGACTGTACCCAACTTCTTCATCATCATAGACATATCAAAACAAGCCCACATTCCTCCCTCATTCAAAAATTTATGCTCAATTAGCCATAGGATAAGCACTGGATTGCGAGGTTGGTTTGAACTGCAAGGTCGGCAGTTCAAACTCACCAGCAGCTCTTTAGAAACTCTATACAGAGTCACTGTGAGTCAAGACTGACTCAATGGAAATTAACAAGAACAAACCTAATCCTAGTGGTGTAGTGGATTGTGGACTGGGCTGATAACCACAGGTCAGCAGTTAGAATCTACCACTCACCCTGCGGGAGAAAGATGAGACTCTGCTCTTGTAAAGATTTACAGCCTCGGAAACTCTATTTAGGGTCACTATGAGTTGGAACCAACTCGGTGGCACACAACCACCACCACCTAATCCACGACCATCAAGTGACCCTAAAGGACAGAGTAGGTAGGACTGCCCCCATAGGGTTTCCAAGCTGTAAACCTTTACAGAAACAGACCGATACAACTTTCTCCCAGGGAGCGACTGGTGGGTGGATCCCAATCACTGACCTTTTGGTTAGCCACTGAATGCTTTGACCATTGTGCCACCAGCCCAGTGCTCTCTTGTTAAACTACAGAAGAATCAAATTGCTGTTGGCTAGTTGGAAGAATGCTATGTTTTATAGACATTTAATTAAACAGTTGTGAGTGTTGACTTTGCAGTTTTCGTTTTGTTGTTCAGGAGCCAGTACAACCCTCCTCCCACTTTTAGGTCCTTCATGGGTCCTTGGAAAGCTTTTTAACACTGGGTCCTGTCTTGTTAAGCTGACGAGAGAGAGAGAGAGAGAGAGAGAGAGAGAGAGAGAGAGAGAAAGAGAGAGAGAGAGAAAGAAAAGGATTCTTGATTTCATTTTCATAAGTAAATGTATTTCATTGAAGTGTGACCGTCTCTGATTTCTTATTTTACACCTGTGGTTAGGGGTCCCATGACCCTTCCATCTAATTACAACCAGCATGAGGACATTAAATAGACAGATATAACCCCTCTTCCACTTATTTTTATTCCAAATCATTAACCTCCACCCAACCATGAGTCTTAGAAGGGCTGACTGAAATTGAAGTTCCAGGAAGAAGGTTCCCAGACTCAGAAGAGTGGGAGATGTAGATGATGATGGAGAAGATGCCGGTGTCCTGGGGGCCATAGTGACCCTCACACTGAGGATTGAGGGGGAAGGAGTAAGTCAATGGTTCCTTATGATCCTCTTAATCCAGTCCACGTATCTGCAAATCTTGGTATAGACTCCTGGAATGCCTTCTTGTCCACAAGGCCCTACAGACCCCCAAGACACCAGACCCTGAAGAACTCCCCCACATACCAGGGGGCCCCCAGAGTCACCCTGAAGGGAAGAAGGAGAAGAAACACTTTTAAAATCCAGGAGATATCCTGTTCCCGTTTTCCTCCCCCAAACCCACCAACTCATTCCTGGACTAGTGTCTCTAAGCCTGGACATTGGGGAAAGGGATGCAGACAGGTCCCCTGAGGACAATGGCACCCATAAGAGAAGAAAGCACCATCTATAGGGATGAATCCCAGGGAAAGAAAGCAGGAACTCCATACAGGGCAAAAGATTGTCTTAAAGACAGAGGCTGGACCTCTGACCAATGAGAGATGAGAACACTGTCTCTAATGACCAATCCCAGGGAGGAGGGTGGAACTTCATTAGGAAAGGAGTCTCTTAAGGACAATGCTAGGGCCTTGCCCAATGAAAGAAGAAAACATTATCTCCAATGACTAAACCAGGAAGGGAGGGCGGAACTTTATGAAGGGCAGAGGACTATTATAAGGTCAATATCTGGAACCCTGGCCAATGAGGAAAGAGAACACTATCACCAATGACTAATCCCAGGGAAGGGTAGAGGGCTCCCTAAAGGACAATGGCTGGGGTCTTACCCAATGAGTAAAGAGCACATTTAATAACCAATCCCAGGGAAAGAGTGTGAGACAGCTTAAAGGGTAGAAGGCTCCCTTAAGGTCCGTAAGATGGGGAAATCTACTTTCTAAAGGATGCGAGAGGACAAGAACACAGAATTACAGGGTGAGATGGTCCATAGACTCTCTTTTCTGCTTTCATCTCTCACCTGAACTAGCACTAACTGGAGGATGCTATAGGGAAGACCTGGAGCCCCAGACTACTTATTTCTGACTTGAGTTCCAAGTTCTGGCTAGCCTTTTGCATCACTGTTTTCTCTATAGCTCTCATTTTGTACCTGCCTTCAGTTTTACTCATCTATTTCCTCCTTCTGTTTGTCCTCTGTCCCCATCACCACCATCCATCTCTCTCCTCTGTTCCCTGGTTCTCCCTCCTGTTCTCGGTTTCTCTCCCACCCTTATTCTGGATCACTCCTACTTTCTGACTCCATCTGTCCCCTGCCCTCTATTCCCTTTTTTCCAACTCCTTCGCCTCTCTATAACTTCTCCCACTCCTCCTCTCTTTTCCTCCTGCCTTCAGTGTCTCCCCATCCTTTCTCTGTTCCGCATTTCCTCTCTTAAGTGACCTTGAGTCCCTGAATTCACATACCTGACAGGCATCCTCCCCGGGGATGCCTCCTGCACACACCATGTTGTCTGTGATTCTCCCGGGGAACACAGCCCGACAAGTGGCATCTGAGACGATGGAGAGGTTGAGACACTGGAGCCGGTCCGGGAATGGGTCTGGAGGTAGAAGATGGGTGCTACAGGGTCTCCCAAAGCTCTCCATGTTGGAGCCACATCTCTGCTCTTGAGAAAGCCCAACTCCTGATCTCCAGTTCCAAGCTGATACACTAGCTCCCTAGTGACCTCCAGTGCATAACCCTAAAACCTCTAAATTTCATATTTATGACTTCAATTCATTGTGACCCTTGGTCCCAGTTCACTGAATTCAAATGCCATGACTCAAGACCCTCTTGTCCTCCAACTTCAGATATGATGAATCCAGATGGATTTGCCCATCTAATTTCAGATACTATGGCCTCGATCTTCAGCCTCACAGACTCATTCTCCTTCTACTCCAACTTCACCTCCTATCTTCTTTTTCTTCTGATTCCATGTTCCTTGCCTTCATCTTCACCCTCAACCCCAGCTCTGCATCATCTATTATGTCATTGCTTCCAATTCTACAGTAATCTCCGATCCTAGTTTATTTGATCCCAGACCCTATGACCCTGACCTCTGATCCCAGACCCCATGACTTCCAACCCCAGATAGATGATCCTTGATTTAATCTCAATGTCTTCCTCACAGCGCAGCATCTGGATTCCATGAGTGCAGTTCTACAAGGACATCTAAGGTCACAGCCCTTGACCTGTTCTTGACTTCCCTACATATTGTTGTTG